AACCAACTCCGACGGCGTGAGGGGCACAACTACACAGTCCACAATTCTCCGAACTCTGCGAGCAAAGACGACGGAGAAAAAAGAACAATTACTTATGCAATTTGTCAGCTTCCACTATGTCTTTGCCTTCGTCCGTTCCTCCAGTCGGTGGTATAATTACGCAGGCAGGGCACCATGCGTCCCAGCCTCGGAGTCGTTCGAGTCCTCCTCCTTCAGATGGTCTCTAACAACAACATGATCAGAGCTGCCGCAATGAAAGCTACCGCAGACACAGCCTTTCGCCTGTCCGGTCTCGGTGCCGGAGGCCCAGGCCATATCTTGGTCGGCCAGAGTATCGTGGTCCGGCCTGACGCCGGCGCGCACGACAAGACCACCCCTCGCGAGGCCTGGGGCCTCAAGTCCGGACTCTACACGCCCCGTCAACTAGTCGAAGGGTTTGCGCCGCTTCTGGACACTGTCGTGTTCCGTCTGGGCCCAGATCCGCCCAACGCAAGAGCGGCGCGGGCGCAACTACTCGACAACCTGGCCGCCAATCTCGACACCAGCACCCGGGAAGCCACTCTACGCTTCCCCGACACCGATATCGATGACTCCCGTCAGGAAATCGCCGAACAGGCCAGAAGTATTGGGCGGACGCTTGTCCAGTACGCGCGCAACTACACGGGCGGTCCGTTCGATGCCGACCTCTACCTCCGCAGCCCCTGCGAGGGCCATCTGCTCATCCCGCTCAACGTCGACCTCATGTTCGGCCGTCGCAGCCAGTCGCATCTGATGCAGCTGTTCAACGAGTACATGCATCAGATGGTCCTCCTGCGGGACGCGCTGCTGCCGTTCAAGAACTACGAGGACGTGATCATCCCAGTGGACGGCCGCGCCGCTCGAGGGATCCGGCATCTCGAGACCTCCCGGTCCGAGTTCCTCACCCACCTCTTGGTCAAGGAGGTCACCCAATCGGCCATCGTCAAACACGCCCAGGCCCTCCTCGCTCCGGGCCTGCTGTCTCGTTCCAGCCGGACTTCCCCCAAGGTCAGCCCCGGATACGGTTTCCAGTATGCCCACGGCCTGGTCCTGCCTGCGTTCCTGGCCGGAGGCCCGACTCCGTTCCATCTCCTCCAGTATATCCCCGCCAGGCTGGTCGATGATGCACCCGAAGGTGTCATCTTCGACTACCGCATCCAGGACTACTATCTGGCGCCGCGCGTCGAGATCCCCGCCGGCACCAAGACCTCAGTGCTACAGTCTGCGGGATACCCCGTGGCCAACGACTGCGGCACACCAAGACTCGGAGTCCAAAGCGTCAAAATCGGAGTCGTTCCACCGACGCCCGGCTCGACCGCGTCGTCGCCGACGGTCCGGCAGCTCGAATTGCAACTCCAGCTGGACAACGGCCAGTGCGTCTCCGTCGATCTGGGCCAGGTTGCGCGGGGCCATCGCTACGCCTATCAGACGTCCGGAGCCAGCGAATCCGCGACATCATCCAACGACACGCACGACGTGACACCCATTGTAGTCCACGCCGCTGCATCCGTCCTGGAGACCGGGCACGGCGACGGCCTCGTCACGGCTCACAATGGTGGTGTCCATGTGATTCCCGTGCAAGACCCGGCCGTCGCTCTGGTGCTTCTGGGGAAGATCTACCCGGAGAACGTGGTCCTTCTGCCGGCGTCGAAGGACTTGGCGCAGGCCGAGAAAGCCGGGAAGGGCCTGGAGCCGAAGTTTGTGCTTTGGGGCGGCGTGAAGCGCGGTGGTCTACGAGGAAAGTTTTAGCAAGCGGTAGCACTACTGCAGGTGGCTAGGGAATCAAGTATGTCTTTGATCTATGGATATGACTCACACCTGCAGAAGTGTAGACTGGCCCATCATTCCTAAGTAGTGGATACTATACGTAGAAGCCTGATATATGTGTAGACAATTGCTGACCACCTTTGTGCTGCTTATCTGCTTAAGAAACTAAAGTTATGAGATATATAAGGTGGGCGCCAAACACGAAGCCACATCGGACTTGACTCTCCTATCCAGTCCAACTTATCATAACTCGCCTAATCCAATACATAGAAACAGCGGAAGCATACAACGAATGGGCCAAGGTACGCCCCCTACTCCATGCCTTGACTAACCGACCCAATCTCAAACGACCCAGGTCTACGACATGGACGGCGACTTCCTGCAAGCCCTCGACACAATCGAGATGCGCCGTCTCCTCCCGGCCTTCCTCGCAAAACTCCCCACCAACGCACAACACGCCCCTCCCAAGCTAGTCGACCTCGGCTGCGGCACCGGCCGCAACACGCTCCAACTCCTCAAGGGCGTGCCGCGCAACGCCGCCATCGTGGGGCTCGACGTCTCGCCCAGCATGCTAGACATCGCCCGGGACGCGCTCCGCAAGGCGCGCGAGACCAGCGCGGCGAAGGCAGATGCGACGGTGACGTTGGCGGTTGTCGACCTGCTCCGCTCGCCGCTGGTGGTGCTGGACTGTGCGCGCGGCGCGGCAGCGGCGATTTCCACGCTGGTCATGGAGCATATCCCGCTGGAGCGGTTCTTCGAGGCGGCGGCGGCGGCGGTGTTGTTGGTTCCCGACGGGTATTTGCTGGTGACGAATATGCATGCGGAGATGGGTGAGATCAGCCAGGCGTGGTTCACGGAGCCTGAGACCGGGATGAAGATTCGGCCGACGAGCTACTCTCATATGCTGGTGGATACGCTGGCTGCGGCGGAGGCTGCGGGGTTTGATGTTGAGGAGCTGGATGGGGAGGCTGTTCGGGAGAGGAGGGTGGATGTGGCGATGGCGGAGGCGCGGTGGAAGAGAGCTGCCAAATGGGTGGGCGTCACAGTGTGGTTTGGGATTTGTTTCAGGAAGAGGTCGTGAGAAGGGAAGTCTATGATTGAGGTAGGGATTAATGCGACAAGAGAGCTAGTATACAGGAGAGGCCGTCACGTCTATATTTATTTTGGGACCTCGGTTGCAACTAGAAGAAGCTCAGCAGCCGCTCCCGATGTTGTACGAGGTTGGTATGCTGCTTCAGCAACTGGCCCAGCCTGTTCTGTTTCCACCCCATCTTGTCATCCAGAATGAGGTGTGTGTATGCGAAAACGCTGGCGTCGAATAGGCCCGGGTTGGGCCGGGCGAAGAAATGTTGGTCATCCCCAAGTAGCGTCGACAGAGCCTCAAAGGCCTCGCCCGCTTCGGCTTCCAATGCGCTGGCATCGACATATTGCGATGTCTTCCGAAGCTCCGTCTGCGCCGCTTGTCGCAGTTCGAACGCCAGAGCGGCTCGGACGAGGGGGTTGGTAGTCGTCGCATCCACGTAGAGCCTCCGGGCTACAGCGCCAAAATTCTCATCATCTAGATACAGTGCATATAGCTGTGCGGGCGTCAGCGCAAGTCGCACCCCCGTATGCGAACAGATGGACAATGGCCCATAACACGTACCCAGGCATTCCGTATCCGATGGTCGAGTAACGACGCATATACCTCGAAGCGCAGGTTCAGTTGCTGCTCCTCTTCGCAGTGGACCTGTTCAATGGCCCATTTCTGGAGCTTGTGGGAGGGGATGGGGGCGTTGGTGCCGATAGGGAGCGCGGGGTGGAGGAAAGGGAGGGAACCGGTTGGAGATGCATGGTTGTTGGAAGGGACGATGTCAAACTCGATGCCGACGAATCTCAAGTAGGCCTGCAAGCAACAAGTAGACGCGAGTTAGCAGGCCATCCGCGTAACCTGCGCGGGTTCACATCGCCATACCTGCCACTTCAAACATTGCGGGTTGAAGGATGGACTTCCATGGCGGGCCCCCGCCGCATCTGTGAAGACAAACAATCGATTGCCGCGTCGAGAAGACAAGGCGCGCTGAGGAAGGTCATTGGGAGGATAGGTGACAAGGGGGAAATGGTCGAAAAAGCGCTTGATGGGAGCAGGGACCGAGAAGTAATCACGGGCGCGCGAGACCGTCCCATTCGCGGGCGCCTGGCCGGAGGGATCACGAGAGTCCGTGGTCATTGAATGAGAGTTGTGAGGGATATCAAGAAGAGGAGAAGGGCGAAGAAGAAAAGAAGCGCTGGGAGGGAGTGACAAGCGGAGGACGTTGAGGAATGACGGCGAAGAAGAATAGAGTTGCGGATCTCCGAATGTAGGAGGCCTGAGGCAGACGTAAATAATGCCTGATATGCAAGGCATCAACGCGTTCCGATTCCGCCCAAAGCAGAAAATCCCCGCACCAGATCCGGCCGCGGCTGTTAGGGCAGCGGGGTCAGTTGAGTAATACGGTACGCTAAGGCTCTGACTGACGGTTTCACCGTGAGAGACTCGACCAGACTCTCCATGTGCTCCCTGGGAGGACTCTCTTTGATTCTTGGGGTTATTATTATTATTCTTTTCTCTGTTTACCTTCTCTATCTTTCGCATATCTTTCGCACACTCCCTCACAACCCGGATCTGAGTCCCCACTGCAGCCACCGTCTTTATATCAGGTCAGTGAATGTCCCGATTTGTCCCGTATAAATTCAGTCTTCAAGGGACCCGTTGCTCACCTGTCCCTTTGATAGTCTTCTCGTCTCTTCACCACATTGTGCCTCTCTTATGAACGCAGCGCAATCGCAGCTCTGTCTCTGTGCGGATTAGAGGAAGTTTGCGTGTCGGAGTGGAGGATCAAGTCGATTGCGCTTGTTCAGTCCACCTCTTGCGCAAGTTCCTGCTCCATCAATACCTCTGCGCCAGACTCTCAAACTGCGATCCAACATGCCTTTGGACGAAGAAGGCGCCAAATGGTCCTGGTAAGCTCTCTGAGCGCTCGATGCAACAATCGTCTGCCACACACATATCTAATACAGACACTAGCGAGCCATGCATTCGCGGTCATAGATCCTCAAAATGCCAGCATTTTGACAGGCTGATGATGAAGGTACCCAAGGCGGGGCGTCCACTTGCCAAATGTCCTCATCCGAAGGGCTCCTGTAGCTGTCAGAAGCTCTACGCGTTTATGATTCGGATTCCAAAAGGTCAGTCGTCTCATATTTGCTTTTTTCGGGAGCCTCGTCTGATTCGCTTTTGCAGGGTCTACCTGTCTTTGTCGTCCTGTCTACCAGGTGCCTGTCGAACCCGGCGAGCCCACCCCATCGGCCAGCACCACTCCCATTGCTGCCTCACCGTCGCCCTCGTCCGGCAAAATCCAGAAGTCCTCCAAGAAACAGATCAAAGTAGCTCCAGAGAACCTAGCCAAGGCCTTGGACTCGATCCCTGAATTCGAGAAACATGAACAGGACAATGCGCCATCGTTCCAACATGCCCCGTTTTCGTTCCAGGACGTTGGCCTAGAGAAACCCAAGGATGAGGCGGGTCAGAGCCTTGATGCGCCGCGTGCTCTCATGCCTCAGCCTACTGCAAAACCAAGCGGTGGCAGCTGTTGCTCAAAAAAGCCGCAAACTCCAGCTCCCGAGCCAGCCCCATCTTCCTGCTGCAGGAAATCCGATCCTCCTAGTAACGGCCATGTGGAGCAATCGGGCACTAATGGAGCACAGCATTCATATGCAAATTTCAGTGCAGCGCCATATGCCCCAACGCCGACGTCTCAGGTTTCTCAATGGCAGACGTTTCATCCCACAAGTCAGACCCAATTCATTCAGCCTGGTTTGGTCCACCAGCCCCGCGATCACTTTTCCAATAACATACCGAGCTACACGACGCACCCGGCGTCAGAGCCTTCGACAAACTACTCGACTCATTCGGTCTCTGGTAACATGGTGTTCACTCCAGCTGCTATGATGCAATCTTTTCCCAATTCCACCTACTCGTCCGTGGTCGAAGGCGACAAGTCCCATGACTGCCATTGTGGTGACAGCTGTCAATGCCTTGGCTGTGCCTCTCATCCGTTCAACAATACCACCAGACAGCACGTTCAGGAAATGGGCCTCCTGGTGGCATTCGATGGAGACGATCAAAATATGAATACTCTCCAGGGTTATCAGAACGGCTCTACAGGCGGGCAGTCAAACGCCAACGGAACTCCCTTCGAATATCCATATGCAAGCTACGGCTCGACTATCAATCACGGCGCCCAGTCAATTCCCATACATTATGCTGAACCTGCAGCAAACTCGACCAATTTCCACAACGGCTACCCTTCACCGCATGCCGAGTATACGATGGGACAGCAGATGATGGAGCCTTCGGAGTATTACACCCTCGAATATCCTGTTGGACTGCCCGCTGGTTGCTCGGATATCACTGGGAGCTGCCAGTGTGGAAGTGACTGCACCTGCATTGGCTGCCTTACCCACAGCGGTCATAACGGAGTTGCCCTTGAACCTGTTTCGACAGATGGTCCTAGCATGAACCCCATTATGGGACCTGCGACCTCATCAGCTGGTGGGACCCATCCTGGATCGAACCCGCTGCATTTCGTTCCTTCATCGACTTCCATGCTTTGAGTCGACGAGTCGCGGCTTCACTTCTTTGTCCATATACTTTGGCAACATTGTCACTCGGACGACTAATGATCATGATACCCATGTATAGAGTTTATGTTAGGCTGTACACTCCCCGTTCTTATGTTCTTTGGCGTCATCCTTACTCTTTTATTCGCGAAAAGTGTATCCAGGCGGACCTCCGTCTTCTCGGGATTGATCTTTATCCCCCAGTTACACCTTGTGGCAGCATGTGCATATGGCCTGCTTCTTCTCTTCCTGTTGGACAATCTGTTGGTGTAAATAGCAACAAAATGATGAGATTGACTCAAACTCGACCTGAATCTTCTAGAAATCATGAACGTATCCGATGTGGGCTTCATCCGAACTAACCCACCGGGAATCGTAATAGTAGACCGCAGCATATTGACAAAGGAGACAAGTAAAATTGCGTGCTAGAAAGTAAGGTAAGTCTAGAATTCTTTCTAAACTGCCCGGATGATGCCCCAACCCAGATCGATTCCTCCCGCTATACAGGTATCATACACAACCAGATGCTGAACCTTTTTAACGTTCTACCGACGCAGCGCATCTCTGACAGGCGAGTCTCCCCGACGGAAAGAAGCTACCCACACATTAGTCGACACACATCGTACTACACAGATCGCAACCTACCATCAGCTTCTTCCCAAGCACGTCCGGCACCGAAGCCGAGACCAACCCAGGCGGGCCAAGCTCTGCGCTTGAACAGGAGGACCGAGAAAACAACACCAAAGGAGAGGCCGAGAGAGGAGCGAATGATCATGGAAGAAATGGCACGGTCCCACTGTAGTATCATGTTAGTCCATGTACACAGTTTCAGTATATCCATGCCATGAGGGCCCAAAAGCCGCGGGCGATCCCAAACAGGAAACAGCCGCTATGGCTTCACTTGCGACAGAGACCACAGGCGTTCGCATACCTTCTCGTTCAGCAGAGCCTCACTGACGGGCTTGGTGGCCCGAGGAGCCGGGGCGACCGGGGAGTTGTTGTTGTCGGCCATTGCGATGGTTCTAAGACGGTATGAGTACAGAAGAAGAACAATTCTCACAGGCAAGGAGCACAAACAGTGTGCAACAGACGGCGGACGGGCTGCGGCGTGGACAATCAGTATAATGGATCGGAGGAAGAGCTGTCAAGGAGGTTGATGGAAACGATCGGGTGCAGCCAAAGGCGGTCGGAAAAACTAGGCTTGGCGTTCTGTCGTCACGTTCCTCCCGCGACACTTTTTTTCTTCTGCGGTCCATATCTACTCCGCTTCGGCGACAACCGTCTATACGTCGTGGTCGACATGCCTTCCCTTGCGGAGGTGAGTATGTTCCGGTTGATGTGGCTCTTTGGAATCTATATCCTTCTTCTTACGTTGATCCGTGAATTCCTCGTACCTGGCTAACTTCTGTTTATACAAAGCGCCCGCGCTCGTCGCAAGAGGCTCTTCTCCGCCTTGAAAAAGGCACCGCGTCCCCCACGACACAGATCAACGAGGCTGCTCAGATCATAGGCTTGGATCTGTCGCTATGTGCGAGTCATCCGCAGATCAATCATAGTCCCCACGTTCCTTTGCACGCGGCACCGAAAGAAGAATGGGTTCTCCGATGGTTGTTGAAGAAACTCAAGTCCGGGAAAAACTACCGTGTCGAGCCGGCCTCTTTTCTTTTGCTGAAACAGCTCATCGGCTTAATCCCCATCAAGACCTTGGCGACGACGCTCAAAGATCAGAAATTCCTCTCGATTTTGAACCATGTGATCGCCGACCTGGAGGATGATATTTTCGCTGGACTGGAAAATGGGTCGACTGAATTCATCCCGTCGGATTCAGAGTCTAGTAGAACGCTGAGCGAATCTTCACATAGGGCCGGGGAGCAAAACAAGAAGGGTACGAAGAGAAAGCGAACTGGGGGCAATGACCAAGACGTCATGGATGTCGACGAGCAACCCCGGACGCTGACGTCGTGTTTCCTGACCTTCATCCGCGCCCTCGACTGCCTCTACAGCTTGGTGGCCCTCCTCGGTCGGAGTGTCGGAGTGGAAGATGTTGCCATCTCGCATTTGAAGCATGCGCTTAAGGGCGACCCCCAGTTGGTGGCCGTAACGTTGGGCAAATCCTTCTGGATAGCTGCTGTGGCTACCTCGCAGTTTTCCAATACGCGCAAAACGACCGATTTGCAACATCTGCTTTATGTCATTCCGGCCATATTGGAACTTTGGGAGTTGAGATCGAATCGTCTGGTCGATTCAGACAGCGGAGCCGCCAATGTATGTCATTTGGGTTGTTTCATGACGGTTTTCGGAGCGCTAATCCTCTTATATAGGAATGTTTCGCCAGGTACTGTTTCAGAAACGCCCTGCAACTGCAATCTCGGATACGATCGATCCAGCTCGACACCGATGAGAGAGGTCACGTTCTTCAGGGGGTTGAACGCTTGATCGCACTCCATGTGGTGATCCCTGCGCGTGTGGCATTCTTTGACCGAGGCGGATCGGGCATTGATTATTCGGCGAGCGAGCCAGACTGGAGCCCAGTCAAGCCCGTTTCTGATACTTTCAGGCCGGTCCTCTTTGGGCCCGAGGCTGGGGAGCCGTCGGACATGAAGAAAGGACCCGGGAAGGTTTCCGAACTTTTGCCCGACTTTTTCGATATCGCCTGTCGTTCCGTACCCCGCAATACCTTCCGAAGACAAACTCATGAAGCTCCTTGGCTGGAGACTCTATTTGTCGCTGTGGCAGAACTGGCATACTCCATGGCAAAGGCTGAAAATTCTGTGTCATACTTCACGGAGTTTGTTGGCATCCTCGAACATCTCTTCCGTGTGGTTCTCGCTCGCAATGTGCAGCTTTCTTTGCATACGCTGCTCACGCATGCTGCATATACTGGTCTCCTCAAGGACGGACTGGCACAAGTCCAGTGGGGGTTGACTGCTCTGCTCGTCGAGCTTGGTGCGGACATTTTCCTACCAAACTCTGGCCTTAATGACTCGACTAAGCTGCTGAATGCCCTTCTCGCGAAAATCATTCTGCACTGGCGGAACGGTCCGTCCGATTCTAACTACGATACTATCAAAAACGGCATCGTGATTCCTCTTCTGCGCGGATTTATGGCCGCCAGAGATCTCCCAACGCTCATGCAACTGTGGTACGAACAACTGATTGACGTCGAGGAGGCCCGATCTGAGAGTGACAATTTGGCGCATTTCGTCGTATGGGAAGATGATGACGTATGTAACGTTTACGGGGCATTGCTGCGTAGTCCCCTTGCTACCGCGCATGCTTCCATGCAGATGCGGGCGGCCGCAGCCGAGATCAAGGCCGACGATGGGAAGGTTTCGGATTCGCCCGGTGCATATGCACAATTCGTGATATTGGAGGCTGGTTTTAGGGAGCGCGCCCTGAGTCCTACGGATTCCGCAGATGATTTGCGGTCTGTCCTTGAGACGCTGACTTCCTCTCTGTCCCCTAAGCAAACGCTTCACTGGAGATGGCGAATGTGGCGGTTTAGTCGCAATCTGCTCGCGCACAGCGTGCAGTCCACTGTCAATGACATTGGCGATATGCTTCGGGACCTTGTTGATGTTGCTGCGAAAGCCATACGCCGCCACCAGAAGGATAAAATGGCAAAGCGCAACGCACCGCTGGAGTGCTATGAAGCATACCAATTCGCCCTTGCTACTGTGAAGTTGTCCGTCGACTCCGGCCACATGGACAAATTCAAGTCGGTTACCAAAGATGTTGCAAAATTCATCCAGTCAACCACTGCAAAGGACGCTTTACAGTCAATGGCTACGCCGTGGAATGGAAGTGTTGAAGCCTTGACTTCTACGACCCACCTGGCCCTTGCATACTTTTTGACACTCGTACGTTCCCCAGATATCTGGGTTAATGTTGATCCCGAGGTCCGGCGCTCTCTTTTCGGGCATATCCTATCTCTGGCAACTTCACAATATCAGGTCTCGTCTACTTTGGAGAAAGCTACATCGGCAGCTACGTTTCTACAAGCTTGGACCGGCGTTTCCTGCCACGAGTACCTCCTTAATACCCCTGCTATCGCTACTGATTTGATCAGCGTTCTATCTGCACGTGTCAAGGAGGATACGGAAAATCGCAAGCCACTCATTGAGAGCCTCCAGCGAATCCCCGCATCTCTCATCACGCGGCGTCAAAGGGGTACTCTGATGGATCTACTGCAGGAGGTTATTCTCCAAGGTGACAGTATTCCCGAGGTTACTGTCGGCATTTTGTCGCTGATGGCCAAGATGGCCGACATGTCCAAGTCATCAGCGGTACTCACTAGCGATTGGGAACCGATGTGGAATGTCGCTAATGCTGTGGCGCTCCAAGGCACTGAAGTTGATCTTCAAATCATGAAGGCCTTCAGGAAACTGCATCGAGCTGTCGTCGCGAAGCTTCTTGTTTCGTCGGAGGATGACTGCCGTAAGCTGTTTAAGAAGATGTATCGCAAAGTCACGGGCAAAGCATCCAAGCTGCGGTCCATTGACCGCAATTCTATGGAGTGTTTCTTCCTTCGGATCTCCTTGTCGCAACTCTGGTTTCACCGTGGCCGTCTTTCAGGAGTGTTCGATGAGGCTGAACTCGCTGGCTGTCGCCAGAACGTATTTGAGCTCGTGGTTGCAGAAGTCAAAGCAGTCAAGGACCAATGCAAGAAGCAGAAGCTCGAGGAGACCATTACCTTGATCAAGACATTGGACGCATTGGAGGATTTTGAAGATCTGGCCACGGATCACGCGGAGGTTGAAAAGTTCCTGTCCAAGATTGAGAGCTATGTTGAGAAGTCCGTCGATTCTGGCTCCACGTTGCGACGGCTCATTCGGCGTCGAGTCCTGGCTGGTCGAGCATCGGATAAGAGCATCACCTTGCCTGTGATTCAATGTGCGGAGACGCTTCCCCTTGAACACATGTATAGCGACGAGCAGCAGGCTTTTATTCGGTCAATTGGGGCCCGATTTCAAAATATGCCCGTGGACAGGTTGACGGGAGTCATCAGAGATATCCAAACGCTCGGGTTTCAAACCAACAATGCGCAGTATCATCTTCTGATTGCTGGACTCGCCGCCGCGTCGATGCCTCCCACTGAAGACAAGGAAAGCGCTAGTGGAAAAGAGCTTTCGCAGCTGTGCACCGCCGTGACCGAGTCGCTCTCGCACAGCACGTCGATCGAGCATTTCACCTTTGCCACGGAGTGCCTGGACATCTTGCTGCGGAATCACACTCGCTGCATTACCCAATGGAATATCGACAGTTTGCTGGCGGCGGTTGCAGTCTGCGCATCCAAGGCGGGTCCGCGGATCAGCTCAGACTTCTCGGCGACCATCTACATCCGGCTCTGTCGCCTGATGGGTGTCTTGCTGGGACTGCATCGGCAGAAGCTAGGGGGGCGCTTCCATCTCATCCTCCCGGCGATGCAGCGCTTGTTGAACTGCCTGTTCGCTCGCACGAAGAAGCGGACTCGGTCGATGGTTCCGGACAAGCGACAGGCGCAGCAGCCTTACTGGCTGTCGCCGCTGGCGGCGTCGCATGCGGTGCACTTTACGCGTCTTCTGACGTCGCTCTGTGATCCGACGGTGTCGGCGGTGTCGCGACCCACGCAGTCCGGGGCGGGCTACGAAGGATTGACAGACCAGACGAAGAAAGCCAAGCGGATTGCGGGTCAATACCTGCAGTATCTGATCATGGAGTATGCGCAAAGCTCGCTGCGGGGATCACTGACACCGGAGGTGAAGGCCGCGATCATGCCGGGACTGTATTCGGTGCTGGACGTGATGTCGCGGGAGACGATGCGGGCATTGAATGCGGGGCTGGATGTGTCTGGACGGGCGGTGTTCAAGGGACTGTATGATGATTATGTGAAGTTTGGCAAGTGGAACAAGGGGTAGATCGATGTAGGGAGTACTCTCAATAAACTGCTATGGAAGTAATCACGTGACGTGGATGGAGTACTTATAGTTCCTGGTAAATGTATTCATACAGTAAGCCTTAAAAAGCCTTTGGAAATGAGCATACCTAGGTATACTGTCAGCCTACTCCGTACACGCGTACTCAGTATGTACATCGAACTACTCCACAGCTCCCCAACTATCTACTCCGCAGTCCCTGAGGGTAGAATCTTTTACTCGATGTGATCGAGTCAACCCACGGTGGGTCGACGCTGATTAGATACAGCAAACCCACAGAGGCTTTTTCCCTCGATGCTCACTGGTCTACTTCCCCACCACGCGGGACCCGCTGATGGTCTTATCGCTGATAACGGCATCGCTTACTCGACCCGATCGAGCAACGAGGGTGATGGAGGGTGATAAGGGCCCCTTGTCGCGTCTTCTGCTCGACCAATTCCCACGACCTTATCGTCGTCACTCTTCGCGGGATTCTCGTCCCGAACACGCTTGGAGGCGATCATCATGATTCCTATCAGTCCCAGGAGCCCTGCTGATTGGGCCGGGCCACCACGATGACGGAGAGGGCGGGCTTGGTGTGAGAAAAACTATCACACATGCCATCGTCGTCCCCCATATCCAGGAGATAGCCCGGTCCGTTTAAAACTCGCCTGATGCCCCAGACAAGTGGCTCGGATACTGGTGGTCGGTTCGGTCTGTTTTTTGTCTGCCCGGATGCTACCCTAAACGGCATCTCTCTCATCATTACATCACGAACTCAATCAGCTCCCTATAGTGGACCGTCGCTCCTCTACTCTCGACCACAGACATACAGAGATACATCCCACACACATCCAAACGGAACATCATGTCGCGATTCAAGCAATGGGTCGAGAAGATCGAGGTGGAGAGCGAGCCCGGGTTGACCAACACCCAGTTGATGTTGACCAACCATGACTTACGGCCAGGTGAGAAGACTACCGGCCGGCGAAATCTCCTCGAGACGCCTCTGCCCACAGGAGGATAACATGGCTGACCGTGTGAAATTGGATGATTTCGTGGGATACAGTTGAACCCGAACGTCGTCAATGGAGGTGGTGGAACTTTATTGCTTTCTGGGTTGCCGACTCGTTGAACATCGTGAGTGTTGTCTGGTGGTATCGTGTAGCGTGCCGATGATATCACTAACCAGTTCGTCTGCAGAACACTTGGATGATCTCGTCCTCAATGATCGTCGACGGTCTCTCCTGGTGGCAGTCGTGGATCTGCGTCTGGGTGGGATATTTTATTGCGGCCTGTTTCGTCTGCTTGACCGGACGCATCGGTGCCGTCTATCACATTTCTTTCCCCGTCGTCTGCCGATCGACCTTTGGGATCTGGGGGTCATTCTGGCCGGTGTTTAACCGCGCCGCCATGGCGGTCATCTGGTACGGAGTGCAGGGATACATTGGAGGTACGTCTTGCTCCTCTGGCTAGGATACTAGAGGATTCTTGAACACTGACACTGACATCACAGGCCAATGCGTCACCTTGATGATCCGCGCCATCTGGCCCAGCTACAACAACATCCCCAACTCCATCCCCGCCAGCTCGGGAGTAACGACGCGCGACTTTGTCAGCTTCTTTCTCTTCTGGCTTCTCTCGCTGCCCGCCCTCTGGTTCCCCGTCCACAAGATCCGCCATCTGTTCACGGTGAAGGCAGTCTACTCCCCCATTGCCGCCATCGCCTTCTTCGCCTGGGCCATCTCCCGGGCCCACGGTCTCGGTCCCATCGTGCACCAGTCCCACACGGTGCACGGTAGCACCCTGGCCTGGGCGGTGATCAAATCGATCATGAGCTGCCTGGGCAACTTCGCTACGCTGATTGTCAATGACCCGGACTTTTCGCGGTTCTCCAAAACGCCCAAGGATGCGCTGTGGTCGCAGCTGTTCACCATTCCGATCGGCTTCGGCATCACCTCCTTCATCGGTATCATTGCCTCTTCTTCCTCGACGGTCATCTTCGGCGAGACCGTCTGGAACCCGCTGGACCTCCTGGGCAAGTTCCTAGAAGGCGCCAGCTCCGCCGAGCGGTTCGGCATCTTCGTCATCTCCACCGGATTCGCCCTCGCCCAGCTGGGAACGAACATCTCCGCCAACTCCGTCTCCGCGGGGACGGACATGACCGCTCTCCTCCCGCGGTACCTGACCATCCGCCGGGGTAGTTACATCTGCGCGGCGGTTGGCCTGGCCATGTGTCCGGTACGTCTCCTTTAGACTTATCCCCTACCACAGACTAACTAACCCTCTACAGTGGAACCTTGTATCATCATCGAACCAATTCACAACATACCTCTCCGCCTATTCGATCTTCCTGTCCTCCATCGCAGGCCCGATGATCTGCGACTACTACATCGTCCGCAAGGGCTACCTGCAGCTCAAGGACCTGTACAGCGCGCGCCCGGGCTCGCCATACCGCCACTTCTTCGGCTTCTCCTGGCAAGCCTACGCTTCGTATATTTCCGGCATTCTCGTCAACATCGTCGGCTTTGCCGGTGCCGTCGGACGCACGGTCCCCGTGGGCGCGCAGTACATCTACAACATCAACTACTTCTCCGGGATTATCGTGTCCATGGTGATGTACTACATCCTGACCCGTCTGTTCCCTGTCGCCGCGACGAGCGACACCTGGAACGAGGTCGACGTGGACGTGGACGGGCTGTCTGTCGCGGACGGCGTGGAGGTGGAGCCGTACACTTCGTACGAGGTGCCGGAGCCGGTGAAATCGGACTCCTCGTCCGAGCACAAGGGGCCGAAAGCCGGTTCGGCGGCGGTATATTGATTTTGGGTGTATGTTCATTGTAATTTAGGGGCTGTAGATGCCATGATAGAGCAGGACATGCTACGAGAAATGACATTTGCATTTTTATATCACAGCGTCGTCTCATTTAATCAATTAGGTTTAACGGGTCGTGTAGCCGCCGTTGGCAAAGATGGTCTGCCCGGTGATCCAGGCTCCGTCAGTACACAGGAACTTGACGATCGGCGCGATATCCTCCACCATGGTCAGACGGCCGCCCATGCCGTTGGCCTTGTGGAATTCGACAGCCTCGGGAGACTCCTGGGGATAGAAGAAGGCTGTTGCTGTTAGTATTTTCTTTCCCTATACACATGTTCGGGAATGACGTACGGGTATCCATAGGACCAGGGGCGATGTTGTTGACGCTGACGCGACGAGACTGCAGCTCCTTGCAGACGCCACTTTATCGAAGATTAGCCGACATCACCATCCAGTCATGGGCAGAAATACCGAGTGAAGTGCTCGACGGGCGCCTTGCTGCCCGCATACGAGGTATAGAACCCAGTGAACGCGCCCAGCAGCGCGGTGACGGTGCTGATGATCTTTCCGCCGTCCGTGATGTGCGCGGCGGCCTCTTTCAGAATGAAGAAGGCAGCCTTGGAGTTGATCCTGCAGTTGGTCAGCACAGGCACCGCAATCGGAGACGTAGGCAGGCAGGCATACGCAAACATGGAGTCGTATTCAGCCTCGCTGATCTCAGTAATGGGCTTCTTGAGCACCTTGCCCACCGTGTTGACCACGATGTCGACGTGCCCAAAGTCGCGGATGGTCTCCTGGAACAGCTTGGTGACGGCCGCGGCCGAGGTCAGGTCGCCGTCGTAGAAGGCGATCTTGATGGAGGGGTATTTCTGCTTCAGCTCGGCCTCGAGCTTGGAAGCGTCGGCCTTGCTGCTGGAGGCGTGGTAGTGCAGCGCGAGATTGGCGCCGACGGAGGCCAGCTCGCGGGCGATCTGGGCGCCGAGGTTCTTTGCGCCTCCGGTGATGAGGGCGGTTTTTCCGGAGAGGGACATGTTGATCGATAAGTAAGAAGAGAGGTGTAGGGAGTTTGGCAATAGATAGAGAATGTGCAATGGATAGAGAAGATGAAGGAGTTGAGTCCCAGGGTGGTTGGGGGTGCTTTATACCTAGGGTCTGCCCGGAATTCAGCTCGCCAGCTGAAGGCTGAGGACCCGATGTATCATGGTGGGTTCCGATGAGCTTAAACCGACTGGTTCATGAGATCGGGACGAGTTTAGTATGCGTTATCCCAAATAGGAACTGCGTACCCACCGCAGCTCGCAGTGCATCCGGAGAACTCCACGCGTTGCATCATATATCCACGTCCGCTGGTTATTGGGCCACCACCACAAACTCAATGCGATGTCGCATCCACCCATGTTGCAGTCGACGCCGTCGCTCAAAGTTTGAAGTGTCGTAACTCCGTGACTCTATTTCCGCTACGAAGCGCCCAGAAAGTGCCCCGGATTCGGGTCCGGCAGCGGCTGCCCCGGAACAAACGTAGCGCCAGGGAAATACAGCACGGAGCCGTGTAGGAAGGCGGCGTTACGGTCGATCCAGACCACAATGCGCCGGAGCAGCCCATTAAGCCCGAGCGACGGGAGCCCGCCGCGCAGGGCGACGGCCCGCACGAGGCCCTCCATATGCACGCGGTAGTTGTCCATATTCCCGAACATGGCCTCGTAGCTGGCCATTTTGGCGATCGCGCCCAGGAGCGCGTCGCTGACGGCGCAGGGCTGCTGCTGGCCCGCGAGCGCATGGTTGATGGCGCGGACGGCCTCCCACCGCAGATTGAGCAGGTTCAGTCGGTGCTCCGTCGAATTCGTCTGCACCGATGCATAATGCGAGGCGGAGAGCAGCAGGATGACGAGGAAGAGTGCGGGCTCGGTCATCACCAGCGGGAACCAGCGCGATCGTAGGAGGCCGCGGTTGCCCGGCTGGTCGAGCTCGGGGATGTCAACCGCCATGCTCATTAGGTCTTGAGAGTCCCGTCAACGGTGACTTGTTCGATGCAGGCTGCGGGCGGTTGTTGGTGGGTTACTTACAGTGGTCCACGAACAGGGGCATGTACGGCCGCCATGCGACGGGATACGATCGGAAAGGATCCACGCGTAGTCCTCCTAGCTGAGGTGGGATGGTCAACGATGGGAGCATTTCCTCGTGCTGTGCTTCAGCTACTGGTAGCTGGGTGGCAAGACACTCCGCTCCGAGGCACAGGGACTGCGCGTCCTCTCTCCGAGTCGTCTTGCGATTGTCGAATTGCTGCCATTGACGGCGCGTCAGGTGGGAGCGGATCTCCGGCTCCTTGGCGAGCTGGAGGGCATCTTTGGGCTCTTTGACATTGATAAACACAAAGTCGTTGCCCATTGTTCATGAATTTATTGACAGCGTGGGTTCGTGTATCAGTCAAAGAGGTGTACGCCAATGCTGCAGTTGAGATGCCCTCCCGACGGTTAGAGATAGAGCAGAGAAGGGAAGAGATATCTCCGCCGAGTCAGCCAAGCTCAATTCAAGACAAGGGATCAGGTTATTTGATGTCTGGAATATAGGTTGGAAACGAATGAAGCATTTTTGATCCATTCGAGATGCTCAGCTCAGAGCTGACTAAGACGGTGTTAGTGAGGCCTCAGGCCAAATACATCTCGACTTCGTCGCGACCACTACAACCAAGACTCCTCTTCTACTACTCCATAGTCCATCCGCATGGGAAGTTTCACCTGCCACATACTATCGGGATGCATACAACCCTACAGGCATGGTGATTATGTGCCAAGGTCTAGAACCCAAGCGACTCCCCTCTCAACCAAAGATCGACGACGAGACAAATCGCTTCTCCTTGGCTCATAAAGCCTCATATGAAATGCTCTATCAGAACCAATCCCCGCGAGCATACATCACGAATCACTTCAAAGCAGCTCAGCCGTGAGTCACAATATAGATCGAAAGGACCAACGGTTTCCCTTTTGGGTCCCCGACAACGAGGCGGAGTCACGACAGGCGGCATCCAGAGCCGAGGTGACGCCAAATCGTCACCTCCTACGTCTAGGCCTCTGCCATCTGCCACCATAGGCCAGGAATGCACAGAAAGCCAGTCTGAAGTCCAACCAGATCGGCATCGGGTATCACTTGTTCTGAACGCGGTTCCACTGCGGCTCCACTTGGATCGCATATAAGATCTCAGATCGACCACAAGTTCCTCAATACTCGGGCAAACTTTTCATTCTCTCATTCATCCGTTCAATTCTCGAGGAAGACAGCTACTGCGTATCTTAACATTGCAGTACCTTGTGCATCTCTGTCCAAACTGCTACAATGGCTTCCAGCGGGGCCCTTCCTCAGACCCTGAAATTCGCCACCGACATCAAGATTGGCGAGTTTTCGAAGCAATACGCGTTGTTTGCGAAGCAAAAACGCGAGATTATCCGGGCTGCTGAAAACGCGCCCGATCTACGATCCAAGGCCCAGATCCTACTGGAGGGTATCACCCAACTCAAGGGAAACCCCAACGATGCCTTGGATCAGGAAGATATGGACTTGGACCACTCCGCAGACAATCGGAGCGCTGTCGCAAATGGCAGTGAGAGAGCAGTCTATGTCAATATCCGGCGCTTCCTCATGCAGAGCCAATTCGACCCGTCAGTGTCAGATCACGCCCTGAGGGGTTGGATTGCAGAGTTGGAACAGGAACTGCAGTACTTGCAGACGAGACATGATCATGCGGCTTTCTACAACAAACTTGTCACAGAATGTCTGGAGAACTACGAGGGCGACTACCCAACACAGGCCACTCAAGACGTCAATAGCGATGGCGTCGACTCCTTCGAGTCCGTAGGGCGAGCAGAGATGCAAGAACAACGCTCGACATGGGAATCGCTGGTCTTCCAAGCCGATTCCACCGACGAGACTACGCTCCGTGGGTATCTCGACCGCTTATTCTTGGCAAGCTCTTTATCGAAACAGGCGCTGAAGGAGATGCGGGAGAAAATCAAGGCCTTCGGTTCGGAGCTGTTGACGAAAGAGGCTGCGCTCGGTGTCCACGACCTCAAATGGCTCGGCAGTACACTATTGGGAACAGATCTTCTCACAAAAGAGAAGGCTGCTATTTTGAAGGATTTCATGCAGAGTGACGCGGTGGCTCGAGAAGTTATCGATGTACTCAATATGCGCCTTGCGACCCTCGCATCGTGGAGCTGGCCGGCGGAGGGCATTCCCGTGGAAATGCGCCGCCAGCTCAATGGGAAATACCGGGTGTTCATGGACGAGGATATCCTCGATGCTCTGCTGCTGCATTATATTGGACTCAAGTGGTCGGTAACGTTCAAAGATGCCTTTGACGATTTCCTTATATCCCGTGCGTGGAAGTCGTCGCACCAGTACATTTCCAAGCGGGAGAAAGCCCGCCGTCAATACTTCCTGGAGAAGCCAGCACGTGCAGCGAACTCTGTCAATGAACACCGATTCGATACATATCGATCAGACTACTTCATGACACAATTGCCCAAGTCTGTGGAAGACGGCGCGCCAGACTATGACGGCGACTCCACAGCAGACTCACGATCTACAGGCAACGCAGCGAAAAGTGCCCTCGATACCAAACACTCCCTCCTTCATCTCCTGATCACAGAATCGATCATCCACAACACCCTCCACGGACAGTTCACTGCCCTACGTTCAGACTTCAAGTGGTTTGGTCCATCCCTCTCACACACCACAATCCTCACCGTGCTGGAATACTTTGGTGTCCCGAAGGCGTGGCTCGATTTCTTCAAAACCTTCCTCGAGGCGCCCGTCAAGTTCGTCCAGGACGGCCCCAACGCTACAGTGCGCACCCGGCGCCGCGGCGTGCCCATGAGCCACGCGCTCTCGACCTGCCTGGGCGAAGCCGTGCTGTTCTGCATGGACTATGCAGTCAACCAGCACACCAACGGCGCGCACCTCTACCGTCTCCACGACGATTTCTGGTTCTGGGGCCCTGAAGCAACATGCATCGCAGCGTGGGACGCCATGAAGACCTTCACGAAGGTGACAGGCCTCGAGTTCAACGAGGAGAAGACCGGGTCCGTCCGTCTGGCGAGCACGCCCGATGAAGCGACCCGCGGAGACACCTACACCCCGCAGGAGCTCGTCGCCCCCGACGAGTCCAAGCCGCACGCGGACGCCCCCAACCTTCTCCCCGCAGGCGCCATCCGCTGGGGCTTCCTCAAGCTCGACGCGCAGGAAGGCCGGTTCATCATCGACCAGAGCCAAGTGGACGAGCACATCGCCGAGCTGCAGCGGCAGCTCGCGGCGTGCAAGAGCGTGTTCTCGTGGGTCAAGGCGTGGAACAGCTACTTTGGCCGGTTCTTCGTCAACAACTTCGCCAAGCCGGCCATGTGTTTTGGCCGCTCGCACATCGACATGGCCATCGCCACGCTCAACCGCATCGAGCGCCGTCTCTTCCCAGACAGCCCCGGCGGCGTCACCGGCCACCTGCGCGCGATGATCGCCGACCGGTTCGGCGTGCACGACCTCCCCGACGCCTTCTTCTACTTCCCCGTCGAGCTGGGCAGCCTCGAGCTGCTGAACCCGTACGTGTCGCTGTTCGCGATGCGCGAGGACATCAAGCAGACGCCGCGCGGGCGGCTCCGCAAGGCCTTTGTCGCCGACTCCGCGGCGCACCAGGCGGCCAAGGAGCGGTTCGAGAAGCACGGGCCTGTCGAGGCGTCGGCGGCTGTCGACGCACTGGGCGGGTCGGACGACGGGACGACCTTCATGTCGTTAGAGGAGTTCACCAAGCACGCGGAGGAGTTCAGCCCGCATCTCCTGGCTGCGTACAGGGATCTGACCCGCGTGCCTGCCGAGGCCAGCACCAGCCAGACGCCGGCATTGTGCCAGCACCAAAGCCTGCTGCGGGACTGGCTGGCCAGCAGCGGCGCCTCGAGCGGCCCGATCGCGGCGCACTGGCGCGGTATGAAGCCGTACTGGCGGTGGATCGCGGAGCTGTACCAGGAGGGGATGGTGAGGAAATACGGGGGTCTGGCGGCTGTGAGTCGGGAGCTGATGCCTATGGGGGTTGTGCAGACGCTGAAGCAGGGCAAGTTCCGGTGGCAGGGATGATTATAACCGTCTTATTTGATACCCACGAGAGACAGGCTCTCTCTATCTGTTGTACATGAGCATTAAGTGCATTAAGTATTGGCATGGAATGAAATCACAATGATGATCACTGTCTGTACGTCGCCTCGAACGCATCCAGCAGTCGTCGTAACCGGGCCTTCTCAGCCTCGCCGCCGAAAATCGCATCGACCGCCTTCTGACACATGTTCAGAATGTCCACGCGGGTGAGGTGGAAATGCTCCGCAGCGAGGAGATACTCGTTAGACACGGGACTGCAAAAGAAGCCGACGTCGTCGGTCTGCACGCATTAGCCTCACCTACCACCACAACCAACCAGCACAAAGGGCACTTACACACAAAACCACCGGACAATGCTCATGCCTCCAGTACCCGAAATGGTGATCGAGGAACCCGCCATCGAACATCTTCGCATGGACATTGCACGAGATGCACAGCTCCAGCCCGAGCTTCCGCCGCGCAATCTCCCGTTTCACATCCTCCGGCACATGGATGACATGTCCCAGGCGATCCGGCCGGAAGTCCAGCAGGGTGCTCAGCTCCGTTTGCCCCGGCGGGGCGGGCACCTCGGCAAAATGCAGCGTGACGCGCAGCCCATGCGCCCTGGCCTTGTCGAAGGCGGGCCGGAACGTCGCGACGTCGCCCTTGGTGGGGTTCCCGCAGAGGTCGATGGCGACGACGCCGCGCGGCCTGTGGGCGAGGGCGAGGTCGACGACGGCGAGCGCGTCGGCGGCCGAGTGGTGGCCGCGGTCGATGGCGAGGATGAGGTAGACGGCGAGCTGGGGGTGGGCGGCGCGGAAGGCGGCGATGGCGTCCAGCACGGTGAGGAGATATTCCTCGCTGGTGAAGGTGGCCGCGGGCGAGGCGCGCGGGATGGTGCGCAGCTCCAGGTAGCAGACGCCGTCGGCGAGGAAGTCCTGCAGCACGGCGCGGGTGGCGTAGGCGACGCTGTCGAGGTCGTCGCAGAGCTGGTAGATGGATTGGTTGAAGACGGAGAAGAAGCTGCGTCGGTTGGTTGGGTTAGTTGGTTGCAGCGACGGGGGTAGAGTAGGGGGGTCGCACGTCTGCAGCGAGTAGTCCACTTTGCCGGGGGGCATCAGCACCAGCGGATCCTCGACGTTAAAGTCTGGATTCTGTGCTTTTTTCTTGCGCCAGATCTCGTGCAGACATTGGCGGCTGATGCTGCCGCTAAGATGGGCGTGCAGCTATCCACGGTTAGTGATCTATCTATCCTTCTTCCGGGTCTGGTTGTAGATGAGGGGTAGACTTACCTCGACTTTCGGTAGTGCTTTGGTAAACTGCGCATCCACGGGCCTGGTGACGTCCATAATGGGTCTATCTTGGGGGATCTAGTGGACTGGTAGTGGGTTCTATGTGGTGGTTGTGTCTAGGAGGGGGTTAAGTGGGAGACGGAGAAGTGGTTGTTATCTGTTTGTCGTGGCAGAGCAGGTGACCTCATTGCTTTATCTGATGACCTTGTTCAACAAGCACTACATATCAAACACGAACCATGTTATACACAGAATGAAGTAAGGCGACTGATACCAGCATTTCGATTGCGCAAATGGTTGCGGCGTGGTGTCAACAGATATATATTCTCGGACATGAGGCTATCCAGATACTATCAGCGATGTGTGAAACCCGCTGTCTTTGCTAATAGTATTGTATCTGAACATGTCTAACCTACACCTGGTAAAACCACCGACAAGTAATTTCTTACAATAGACCATTCCACCTCTAGTACATGCTCCAAAAAGCTAGATACCTTGTCAACTATGCCGTCCCGTTGAAACATCTCCAGCGGGATACTACCATTCGCGACATGTCACAAAATGTCTTTATCCAAAGTATAAGTAGAAACACGGGATGGGTTTTGATTCTGGAGGATACACTGCGACCCTGGATTATTGCGATCCATATCCGAACAGTGCGGAGTAGCAGAGCCGAACACCTTGCCATACCGATGTCGCAAAACGTCCTCCCGTCCATATTGACGGACGCTCGCTTGCTTTCTACGCGGCGGACGGTGCGACTGTTGGCATCTTCCGCCATTAGAGTGAAGTCCATGGCCGATTGGCCGGCTGGAGGTGATATATGCTCATTCTCACGCAACGGAAGCGCGGAAATCCATCCCATACAGACACCTGACTTGATGCACGCGCATAATTCATTACCATTGCCGATGCCGTCCTGTGATCTCCGCACTGAGGACAGCTCGACGCAACCTAGCGGCTCAGTTAGCTTTTGTGGTTGTTTCGTGTAGATTAAGGCTGTGCGATCCAGAGAACGATCTTATGAAAAGTGGAGCAAAGACCGGCAGATGCGAGGCCGTCTGGAGTAAGGCAGATTTACGGAGTAGTACTCCGTAGTTAGACTGGGTGTCGGCCAATACCGCACCAACGGGGCCTCCGAGTGTGCCGTTGTCTCAGACGGCATCTGGTTTGGAGTCGAGTGCGTACAGCGTAGGCTCTGTAGCGTGGCGGAGGTCCAAAGTATATCAGCCGGTTCAATTTCAATTCTGTTAGAAGCGAATAAGCATGAGAATGATGAATCAGATGAGCGTGCCAATTCAAACGTAGTCCAAATGATCCGGCCAGGGAAGAGTCCGGAATGAATACTTGGTTCTATATCTTGGTCAGGCTGCTCTGAGCTGGACCAGTTGGAGTCAATTCGAGCCAAATGGGCTCTAGATTAATTCTCCAACGGTGCACAACAAGGCCCCGGTTTGGCGCAAGGGAACTAGAGCAGAATTGACCCGAGTAAGCGAGTGTAGCGAGAATGCATTAGCGAGACTGCCAGCCAAGGGATTAGTGCACGGCTGGCTCGAATAATGGGATGGCAACGGCACCGAAAGAAGGCCGGCAGTGCATTAGTATCTGCCTAGTCCACCGTCGAAGGATTCCAGAAAGCGTCGATGGGGCTCCCGGGGGGGCTATTTTTAGCCGCTGCCTCGCATTGAAACAAGAACGGATCCTTCCCTGAAATTGATGGATGGAGTAGCGCAGGCGATTCGAATCACCGCCGCCGTTTTTAATCTCCTTCGCACCATACAATCGAATTGGTTAGTTGCGAATACGGGTGTGGCGCCAGCCGGTCCGGACCGAGAGATAGGTATGTTGAAGCAGAAGACAATGCGACAATTGTGCTTCTATCGAGTGTATAGAGCGATGTCCATGGGCGCTGTCTGATGAGAGACAGATTCCAAGAATAGCATATGGATAGTAGGAGTAGAACTACCTACTCCACCGACAGATTCTTCCTCGTGCGGCTGTGAACTCCGCATGGGCGGATTGTGGAGTGGGCCTTTGCCCTATGCCATGCCATGGATCAGAAACAAGGGTCTCCGAGAGCGCGACAAAAATCTTACGGACGTGGAGAACCAGGGTGTATCGTGTAAGCCATCGGCGTATACCGAAAGTCAGTCCAGTGTATTACTGGTAGAAGGAAGACAGCCGTCTGTTGTTCGGTTGTAGGAGGATGTAACACGCGGGCATCCGGATAGAATCCCACATCGACTGCAGAGGAGCTGAACTGAGTCAAGCGGGTCGCAGACAGGCACACCACACGCCGGGTCTTCTTTGCGACCAGTCAATGCAACATGGACACCGACATGGACCTGAATCCGACCAGCCCTCTGCAATATAGGCTGCATTCACGCATGTCTGCCGCAGGCCCGATTTAGCACGAATGACGACAGCGTGTCAAGGGCAAAGAAAAGAGCCTGAATGCATGGTTCAAGAACAGGCAAACGGCTGAGAGGAAAAACAAAGAATGAGGCGATGATGATCACGAGGCTGGGGGCAGTTAATATCTGCAAGCCTCACTGTGAAAGAAGCGCAACTATTGACTCTCCCCAAGCCACAACACGTTGTTTGGCGGAGCGATACGCCAACTGTCAGAATCCCCGCTGGATCGCTGCATTGTCACTGCGATGGACCGAATGGACTGACCGGATGACACCATGCAGCGTGCGCTGAACGAGCCAGGGGGGTTATTGGAGGGGAGATAGGGGCTGAAGCATCGAAGACGCATCGAAGGAGGAGAGGAGGCTCTGCGTCGTCTGTGGCATGACATTCATCTAGTTGTCTCTGGTATTGCTATACTACTCCGTAAAGTGGTGGTGATATTCATATTCTCCTTACAAATGCCCTCACTCTCTTTCAGGTGGATCCTGTACTACATACCTACTATCTTGCTCCAGCCATTATAAATACACATTCTTTTTTTCCCCCGTTAAGTCTCAGAAATTGGCTAGGCAGACATTATCTATTTGTGTCACCATCGCTAAGAAGTACCTGGTAATCGACAGAAATTCTGATACGGGCGGCAGACAGGCCAAAAAAGCAGCAGAAAAAGCATAAAAATGATGAGACCAGGATTCCGATCATGACGAGGACCCCGGCTCAGGAGGCGCAACGTTCCATCCAGTTGGGATCAAACGCCGTCAGGTAATACCTATTAATTAATTACAAACGTTGTGCTTCCCGTCCTCGCGTTTCGGAAATGATTGCGAGTAGGCGCAGATACGTGTGCGACATCATCTCTGGTGAAAGGAAAAGGGAAAAGAGGGGTTTCTCGCTTTGTCGGTTGATCTCCTGAAGATCCAAATCACCAGACGAACCCGTTCCCTAGGGCTTGGATACTACCTAGTAGGGAGGGAGCTTCTCGAAAGGCTTCTAAGAGGCCAAAATTTTCCTAGCCCCAACCCTCCATGCGAACGGCCCCCGACTCGATACGATAGGGTTAGGCTGCTGGGGAGACTACTGGGGGATACCTTCCCCTAGTAGTTACCTTAGGTACCAGTACTAGGTACCCTTTGGGTAAACGCTCGGCGTTCTAGAGACGACGTGATGGTAAGGCAGGTATTATTGAATTGGGTGGTATGGTGTAAACGCTGGTGTGGTAATGACGAAATACGGATGGGAAGATTACCACCGTCGTACACCGACCCGACGCTAATGCAGTTGCTGTGGAAGTTCCTAACCACACTGGCGGGAAACGATAAAGAACAAGTGTACCTAGTACCTAGTAGGTAGTTATGTCAGGTATCTTATGGAGCAGTTGAGTCTCCTGTTCCCAATACCCACTGCAGTGTGGATTTTCTTCTTTTCTTTGTCTACTTGGGTATCTGACCTACCTGATAATACCTCCTATCAATACAGTGGGCTGATTTGTCTGTTGCGTGCTACCCTAGTGATGACGTCACAACATATCTCCCCGAGGATTAGTTAAATATGCGCTCGTCAGAGACCGAAAATAGCGACCACGGGAATGTCTGTGGGCTGAATGATGTCTATGTCGACACAGAAAGCGTGTTTATCCTTTACTCGTCAACCAAGGGATTTCCTCTACCAATCCTAATCTTGGACAGGAGGAAGAGGGGTAGACGGCGAAGTAGTGGAGGATGGGAAAAATAGAGAGAAAAAAAAAAGATGATTGATTCAGTAAGAAATACCACTCACCTGGAAATCACCCACGGAATGGGGGACAGTCTCCCTCTCTGTGTGATCGTAGCAAGGTCTCGGCTGCAAGATCCTGGGCAGCAGCGAAACCCGCGATGGGAAAAGGCTTGGAAGCTGTCAAGAGTGGGCCACCGTTTGGTGTAGCCCCACGAGGCCGAGGCAAACATGCCAATGATGACGCTCGCTTGTAATCTCCTGCGAACTGGAGCTGTCTCCGCCTTGCCGTGCTGAATAAGCTGCCAACCGTCGGCCTTGCCGGCTCTAGCGCCAGTTCCCTACCAGAGAATCCGCTCCATACTACAGAACCACCGGTGGTGAGCGAGTTCCTTCGTGGACGACCGTCCTCGACAGAGTCGACTTCCTGTTAGGGAGGCAAGCGTCGACGCCGACAATCCCAGCCCTCCATTGCCCCGAATCTCATGTCAACAAATCCTACCTTGATCCTCCTGCATTCACTCGGTAAACACGGCAGCGCCCGACATCCGATTGTGCCGGCACGAATGAGAAACAGGACCGTTGGTCACAGGTTCCCAGAGAGCGATGCTTCATATGTCCGCATTGGGTAATCCCCTGCGCAAAGCGATTCGACGATACCCCAGGAAAACACCTCGGATTGGCAGCCCTTCCCCTCCTAAACCCCCCGTGGACCTCCAGGATAATCAGTCTGACCGGGGGGAGGGTCTGATCCCTCGAAACACAGCCTTGGAAGCGGTCAGGACTCACAAAGCAAGCACGCAAGGCGGCCACACCCTAAAATCCCTCCGATTATCGCCATCGTTCTCGGCTGCAGAGGAGGGGTAATCCAACGGGCTCTTTACCTCTGTAGGCATCTCCTCTGCGTTATGCATGTACTCCCCTGTACGTGC